TCAAGGTGTTGAAAGTCTTCAGGTTTGGAAATCAAAGAACTTAGGTTTAAGTAGAATAAATTCACAAGTTCCTTTTTTCTTGCAATTAAAGTGGAGAACCTCATATTTATATACAAGCTAGGTCCAAGTCCAGATTGTTAAGTATATTTTGGGATCATATTATATGTTTATATTTTAGATTATTTTAATTGATAAAGTCTTCAGAAGGATTTGATAGATGGTGTGAACTGGCTTTTATAAATCTTGAACTTAAATTCTTCCCTCAATAATAATAAAATGAACATGTAATTATATAATACTATAGTATTCTGCCCCGGTTCTATTGGGACAATACTTAAATGGCTATAATATCTATTTTTTCGTAGGATATCTACCACTATTCATCACATTTAATTCCACTATGCTAATTTGATAAATTTTGTGGTATTTATTGCCTAGAGAAAGATAGGATGAAGCAATACAAATGTTGCAGTTAAGTATTTGTCTTTCGAAAAATAACAATAAACAATACGAACGAAAAATGTTGACGAATGACTCGATCGACCAACGAACATGAAGAACAAAATGTCTAAGGTAGAAAAAAGAAAAATCTGCAACTCTGATAATTTCCCAAAACGCACACCTTTCATTTCAGTCGCGGTTCATTTTTATAGCCCGCTCAATGTTTTACATTTTTATTTGCCCTAAGACGACATCGTTTTAACAACCAGATAAAAAAATAAAATAAGAAAATAAAAGGAAATGAAGAAGCCTGCTCAACGGCCATATATTCATCACCCCTACGTCAAGTTGGAGCAGGGTTGACTGAAATCATGCCCAACTTGAAAATCAGAGAAGAGAAGTGCGCAACAGGAAGAATCTTGGTGAGAACATCCGCAAATTGAGCACGAGTAGGGACATAGCGCAGTTCAATGAAGCCTTCCTTGAATTTATTGCGGACAACATGACAATCTATCTCAAGGTGCTTTGTACGTTCATGGAAGACCGGATTAGCCGTGATGTGCATCGCAGCTCGATTATCACACCACAGGGTAATGGGGAGGCTTGGGGTGAGAAGCAAGACGTGAGCAACAGCATTGATCCATTGAAGCTCGCAAACAGTGGCTGCCATGGCCCTGTACTCTGCCTCGGCTGAAGAGCGAGAAACTGTCGTCTGCTTCTTGCTTTTCCAGGAAACCAAATTCGGTCCCAAAAACACGCAATAGCCAGTAATGGAACGCCGGGTATCCTTACAAGCCGCCCAGTCAGCATCACAATAGGAACTAAGATCAAAATTGCCACTTGCAGTGTAAAGAAGCCCAAGTGAAGAAGTCCCTTTTAGATATTTGACTACATGAAGTGCAGCTGTCATGTGATTTGTAAAGGGATTAGTAACAAATTGGCTCAGCTGCTGTATGGCATAACTGATATCAGGACGAGTAAGGTTGAGATAGAGCAGCCGGCCAATGACCCTCCTATATTGATCTGGTTCATCAATGGGGTTCCCATAAAAACTAGAAAGCTTCAAACCAGGTGGAAGTGGGGTTGGAGGTTCTTTACAGTCAAGTAGACCAAGATCCAATACCAAATCCTTGATATATTTTTGCTGGCATAGGCCAAGGCCTTCAGCACTCCTTGTGATTTCAATGCCTAAGAAGTATCTGGCCTCACCAAGGTCCTTAATGGTAAATTCTTTGTGTAGGAAGTTTTTCAGAGAAGTCATGAGATGGTGAGAAGAACCTGTGAGAAGGACATCATCAACATAGACAAGCATGGCCAAGAATTCCCCATCTATGTGTTGTGTGAATAAGCAATGGTCCTGGGAAGATTGTTGTAAACCAAAAGCCAAGAGTTTCTTGCACAATTCTGAGTTCCACTCTCGAGAAGCCTGCTTTAGTCCATATAAGCTTTTAATGAGCTTGCATACCTGCCCTTCCTTAAATCCTGAGTAACCTTGTGGTGGTTTCATGAATACTTCTTCATTGAGGTGACCATGCAAAAATGCATTGTTCACATCTAGCTGCCACAAGCTCCATCCTTTCATTGCTGCTAAAGCTATAAACATCCTTACTGTGACGAGCTTGGCAACAGGGGAAAAGACCTCAAAAAAATCCACACCCTCCACTTGATTGAAGCCCTTAGCCACCAACCTGGCTTATATCTCTCCACCTCCCCATTTGCTTTTCTTTTAATCTTGTACACCCACTTGGACCCAATAGCCTTCTTTCCAGGGGGCAAATAACACATTGTCCATGTCTGATTTTTGTCCAAAGCCTGTAGTTCCAAATTCATGGCCTGAACCCATTTGTCATTGTTCTTGGCTTGGTTATAATGCAATGACTCCTCCTCTTGTGCTAGATTGATCAAAAATTGATCTGTGGGTGTAGTTTGTTCCTGTTCAGCATTATCACAAATATAATCTCTCATCCAAGCTGGTTTGGTCCTGACTCTCTTTGTACCTTGCACAACTTGTTCCATCTGCTCGCTGGACTCAACTGGTGGTGGATCATTAGTAATATGAGGAGCTTCTGATGGAGAATCAACAATTCTTGGCAAAGGGTCAATGGATGTATCTGCTGTAAGTGGTGCTGATTTAAAAGGAAAAGTGTTGAGGAAGAAAACAACATCTCTGGAAACAAATTTTCTCTCTTCTTCAAGATCATACAGGTAATATCCTTTACATCCCACCAAATATCCAATAAAGACACATCTATGAGATCTTGTGTCAAATTTACTCTTTAGAGGTGAAGTGTTGGCAGCATATACTAAACACCCAAAAGGTTCGAACCTGCTATAATCTGCCTCCTTCCCATATATCTTTGCAAAAGGTGTACTCCATCCCAAAGCTGAGCTGGGCAACCTATTGATTATGAATGCTGCAGTTAACACTGCATAACTCCAGAAACTCAGTGGCAATCCGGATTGAAATATAAGTCCTCTTGCAATCTCCAATAACTGCCTATGTTTCCTTTCTACCACCCCATTTTGTTGGGGTGTGTAGGCACAACTTCTTTGATGAATAATCCCATTCTTAGTCAACAAGTTCTGGCATCTTTCACCAACAAATTCCAAGCCATTATCACTTCTCATTCTTTTGACTATTTTCCCAAATTGAGTCTTGACCATTATCAAAAATTTCTCAATGTGACCTACTGTCTCCCCTTTTGTCTTCATCAAAAATATCCAGACACCCCTACTGTAATCATCAACAACAGTTAAGAAGTATGGTGTGTGTGTGAGGTTATCTTCTTTGCAAGGACCCCATATGTCAACATGTATCATTTCAAACACATCCTTAGATTGTATCTTGCTCAAGGGAAATGGTGCTCTATGTTGTTTGGATTTGAAACAGGTGTCACATTCTTTCAATGCATCCTTCTTATTGCAATATCCTTTCAAGAAGCTTATATGCTGTAACACACCTAAGGAAGCATGCCCTAAAATTTTGTGCCAGTGTTCAAGAGAGACAGTACATGCTACCTGATCATTTTTGTGCCTTTGCTCTGTGATTAATATGTAAAGTTTCCCTTGCAATTTTCCATGTCCCTTCCTTTGCCCTGTCAGTTCATCCTCAAAAAAACACTGATTTGAAGTAAAGGTACATCTCAGGTTGGTGGAAGCAGACAGTTGTGTGACCGAGAGTAAATTATACTTGAATGAAGGTATGAACAACACTCCATATAGTGTAAGATCCTTTGTTAGTTCTACTTCACCCATTTCAAATACCTCCTTAACACTCCCATCAGGCAAGTAAATGGTGATTGCCTTTGATAAAACCACCATGTTTTTCATTAAGTCTTTGTCTGTGCACATGTGCTTGCTAGCACCTGTGTCAATCACCCAAGCCTTTCCTTCAACATTATCATACATAGACAGTGCATAGTCTGCCTCATTTGTGGCAAAATTTACAAAGTGCTCCTCTTCCATCACTGCATGACCTCCTTTGCCATCCTTATTGCCTTTACCAAGGATCTTAGCTACCTCTTGAGCTAATTTGGTTATGTCACTTATGGAATTAAAGCCTGTTCCCAGCAGTGCTTGATTGCTTTCCTTTACCTCAGCCACATTAGCAATGCCTTTCATCTTGTTGTCCCTCATTTCTTTGAACCAATCTGGATAGCCATGTAACTTGAAACATGTAGCCTTTTCATGTCCCTTCCATCCACAATTATCACATGTCAACTTAGCCCTCTCTTCCTTGGACAACCTCTGTCCACCTCGTCCTCTACCATAAGGTGGTTGTCCATTGGGGAATTTACTGTGCATGCCTCTACCAAATGGTGCATTTGTCTTAAAAGCCATTGCCATGCCTGAATTAAAATCATCACTAGCAAGCTGCACTGATCTCTGTCTCTCAGCAGAAAGCAACATGGAGTAAGCTTTACTGACTGAAGGTAGAGGATCCATCAATAAAACCTGGTTTTTGACGTGGTCATAACTCTCATTCAATACCATCAAAAACTGCATGAGTTTGTTTTGCTGATATTGTGCATCCATCTTTTTTCCAATTTCACACGGACACATCAAATGAGGTACTAAACATCCATATTCCTCCCACTTTCTCTTCAATTTGTTGAAATATATCATGACTGAATCAGTGCCTTGTTTTAAATTCGAAATTTCCCTTTGCAGTTGATAGATCAATGGACCATTACTTTCACCAAAACTTTGGCAAATTTCTTCCCACAACTCTCTAGCAGTCTCAGCAAAAACAAATCCATCGGCTATATCCTTAGAAATTGAGTTTAAGATCCAGGAAATTACCATATAGTCGACTTTCTTCCATTTGTCGAAGTCTGGATCTCCTGCAGTTGGCGGTTCAACCGAACCATTAATAAAGCCTATCTTCGTCTTCGCACCGAGTGCGATCATCATTGATCGTTTCCACGTCAGAAAATTAGCTCCTGTAAGTGGATGTG